CAACTGCGACAATATTTTGACTACAATGTGACTTTATTTGTGTGACTATTTGAGTGTGACTTATGTATTCGTGACGTGATAACTGTGACTAACATGTTTAAAAAGTGACATTGTAAATCACATGGGTGGCTTATGTCCTGTGACAATAGTAAACTAATTTTGATTAAAAATTATTTCTTGTTGACATTAACTTAAACTGAAATATATGAAATTCATAACTTATATCACTTATGTGGCTTTAATTTCTCTAGAAGTGCACCGTAATATGACCACATGTTCTGTCCAATTTCCCTCTCGAAAAAAATTAATAAAGTAAAAATATTAATATTTATAAAATTAAATTTCAGAAGACAAAATCAGTTAAGGGTTGGCACAATTAACTGGATTTTAATTAAAATTAAATAAATATTAAAAATATTTTTTAAATAAAAATACCTTATACTTTTACATGATATTTTATTGTACAGGGAGTTAAATGTTTCGTTAGCCACTGAACTTTGTACCACGTCACGACTTACTCACCGAACTTACAAAGTTGTCTCGCTGGCCACCGAACTTCACTCCGTCCAACTCCATTACTCACCGGCTGAAATCCGTTAGCAAATGACATGACATGGCAGACGGAAAATCCATGCGGCCAGTTAAATCCTTCCAACTAGTTGTAATTGATCCAAATCATCTTCCACGTCGGTGAGCAAAATAATTTTTAACGCTTACATACGCGACTTCATAATCTGAAAACCCATTTTTGCTTCCATCCCAAAATCAAATCTACTGGAGCCCTAATTCACCGTACCAAGAACTCTCTCCCAATCCGGAAACTAATCACTCCGAGAACGACGAAGAACCCAACATTTCTGTAATCTTTGCTTTGTTGGAACGCACGACGTGTTGTGAAGGTAAAAATTTCATTTATCTTGTTACCCATTTGAGCTTGAGCGACGAACAGACAATGCGAGGGGGAATAGTGGCGCGAGGGAAAATTTCGGGGAAAAAGATTTCGTCATTCCTTCTACCATTTTCAATGTAGTTCACTGCTTGCCCATTTCCATTTATTTGTTGTTTACGAACGAAAATGGAGATGACCATGAATTTATGGATTTTGTTACAGTCTTCACTTCATAAAGAGTCTGCATCTCTTGATTTTGTTATAGTATTATCTTCAACTGACTTGAAATGTTCTAAAAATACAAAAATATATCTTGCAAACATGTTGTACATAATTCTGTAAGGGGTGGATTTGTGATAATGTTCATTGAGGCAATGCATGCAGATAAGGTTATCGGTGAGGAAGTTGATTTTATATTTTATTATTCTGATTATTCTTCGAAGATGCTTGATATTGTGGAGATTGCAGTGAGTTTTGTTTAATTTTCTCATTTATGTTAGTTTTCTCCTCACTTGGTTTGAGATGGGAGGAAGGAACAAAGGAATGTGTCATGGTTGCCGAAAGGAGGGCCACTACTTGTTGGATTGCCCGACTAAAAAAGCTTGTCCAGTATGCGACAAAGGGATTCAAAATGCATGGAAGTTGAAAAGAGGACTGAAAACTTGGGACGCCTGTTCTTCTGCTGCACTAACGATTGCAATTATTTCAAGTGGCTTGATGTGGACGAACATTGTCAATATGAGGGTCAATCAAGCGCCACATCGGAAATTAATGAGTTGTCGGGTTTGTTGACGCATGTTGCTAAAATAACTGAAGAAAAAGACGTGGACATTTCAGTCAAATTTACTTTTCGCAAGGGAAAGGGAGAGACGGATAACGGGAAGCAAAATGGAGGAGCTTTGTGAAACGGAACCAGTTATGGTAGTCTTAAGTTTGTGTAGTTCACTGGTTTAATAATGTATTTGTAGACGTCGAAGTTGTAGTTGTAGATCAATCCCGGTAATTTGAAATTCACGCTTGTAATTTTAATGTTTCTATGTCACAACATTTATGTCAATTCTATCATATTTGTGGATCAATTTCGTTCTCAAAATGGTTCTATCTTCTCTTCCTTCAATTGACACTTGTGCTGTGTTCTTATAGTGCAATTATGTTTTGGTGGCAGTTGACATTTTCATTGTTTCAGTTATAACCTGTGAAGGTGGTTAAATGTTAGAAAACAGGGGAGAACAAAAGTAGATAGAAGCTTCATTGATCTCTGCAGAAATCAAACTGTAAAATGTTATGAAACTGCTCTGTGAATTTCCTCCAAGAATGTGACAAAATGTGAAGCTAACTCTATTTTCTCAAACTCAAATTCCGGACTTGATCATATAAATACATTTATTTTGTGTGAAAGAAACTTTTACCACATTTCTGAAAACAGAAAATGAGGCCTATATATTAGATCATCTAATTGTATGAAAGAAACGGAACCAGTATTGGAGTTGGTCAAAAGATTTCACCTTCAATGACTCTTAAACACAAGATTATTTTTTCCTTCAAATTAAACTTAAACCACAAAACATGCACAGATTTCACAGTGTGCATTGATGCAGAACAAGTGCAAAGTCATGATTTAAAGTTCACAAATTCCACAGAAGTCCAACAATTACAAAAGTTTTCAGAAGTCTCAATCACCTATATCATCCTTAAGCAAAGACTTTGATGATCTAATCGGGCACTACTATAGAACAAAAAAATGACTTAGCCTACTGAAGCCCGTCGACTAAATCTAAAAATATTTTTACTAAATCTGAATTCAAAAGCTACTCCAAAAAATCAGTGGCCTGTCGACTTTAAACACTTGGCTACTTCATCTTGCTCGGCATATGTTAGCTTACCGTATGTTAGCGTCAATGGATAATACAAAAAGCTTCACAAAACCCGTCACAACTTGCATCAAAAATCAAAAACACTGACTTTAGTTACGTTTTCCTTCTGGTACACTTCGATTTGCGTGGCTTCGATACCCTTGTACTACCAGATTCTGCATCCCCCCGGTCAATAATGTCATCCACGACGTCTTCGAAGTTCACATCGTCGGTTGGAACATGAACCAAGTCGGGCTGAGTGACCACCGTTGCTGTATCACCAGTTCTTGGCCCACCAGAAAGCAGTTCACGAGATAACGTTGGGGTTGGAATGAAGTGGAATGTTAGCTCGTTCGGAAGATTGTGACTTGAGGATGCTTGCTGTCCCCTTTCTGGAACCATTTTTCCCTACATAATGCAATCATTAACATTATCAGAATACTTATGCAATCCACATAATATCACAACGGACATCGAGAAAAATAATTCAAAAGAGTACTAACTCGTTCATCAACTGCTCTATCGCATTGTGGGACAACTGGTTCTATATTACCTTGAAACCAATCTTGTCCACAGAAAGTAAAAAAGTTAGAATACATTCTTCAAAAATTCACCGAACAAAAAGCAAGATCATACTCACAGAATCTGGAGCATCCGGCCTAGAGTGGTATCGCTTGTTGTGACCTTGCTCTCCACATACTGAACATGTCATTTTCAAACGTCCCTTTCTCCGAAGATAGTTCTTCTCTTGCGAATGCACTATCACATCTTCATCTGCTCCTTTTCTTCGATTTATTTGTCTCTTTCCCTTTCGTGGTATAACCCACGACGGTGGAGTAATATCAAGCATATCCAATTGTGGCCATAAATGCATACCATTGATCGGATGCATGATACTATTGTAGCATCGCATATACGACTCAATTGTGTAGCAATTGTGAACGTAGTCTTCTGGATCATTTCTGCAATCCCTAATCACTGCAACTGCATGCATGCAAGGAATGCCAGTGAGCTCCCATTCTCTACATGCACAGGTTCTCTCATGTAGATCAACAACATAAGTCCCGAAGCTGCATTCAACTTGCCATTCAGGACCACCTGAAAAATGCAATGTGCATTCCCGCGATTTCTCAGCATTCTTGAGCAATTTTTTCTTGATCTTCGGACACAAGCGTCCTGTACATCTCATCATCTTCTCTCGACGCTTTTGAATCCTATTCATGAAGGTTTGTTGTAGTGATGTCAACATTGACAAAATCATCTTTTCTCTGTCACTTCGCAAAGTCTTGTTGAAGACTTCGCATAGATTGTTTAGCAAAATATCACTTTTTGATTGATCCGAGAAATGTGATCTGCTCCATTCTTGCGGGTGTCGTTCTGTAAGCCATTTGTGTGCCTCTTCACTAAGTTGACGAATTTGTTGCATCCAATGTTGGTAGTCAGCAACAGTGGTCGACTTGGCGGCACGCCATAAATAATTTTTAAGAATTTTACTCTTAAACCCAGCATTAAAGAAATTCGTGTACATATGTCGTACACAGAACCTGTGCTCAGCCGCAGGGAACAACTCATCTGTGACATTTTGTAGCCCTTTTTGTCTGTCCGTCATTAGAGTCCAACCCCTTCCATCTCCAATACTAATATCCTCAGAGAGGTATGTCAAGAACCATCGCCATGAGGCCGTATTTTCTTTCTCAACCACTGCATATGCAATGGGATAGATGCAATCATTAGCGTCAATACCAACTGCAGTTAACATAACCCCTCCGAAAGAACCCCTTAAGTGACAACCATCAACACCTACTACCTTCCTACAACCATCTCGAAAACCTATCTTAGAACAATTGAAGCATACATAGATCCCCCTAAACATCTACTCCTGTAATGCAATAATGACCGTCGACCCAACATTTGTTCGTAGTACCTCGGCTGCATAAGAACGCAATTTCCTAAATTGCTCTTGTAAATTTCCTACTAAAATTTCTTTAGCATATCTCCGCATTTTCCATGCCACATTCCTACTAATGTCTGTGCGGAGATCCTTCTTCACAGTTGCCAAAATTAGCTCGGTCTTCCAGTTTGGGTCAGCCTTAAATTGCTCTATATATCGACGCGTCAAGAATATGTAATTGCAGTGTCTATTAAATTGGTCCCGACTACAGGTATGCTCTGAAGTGTAAGATTTAACTTGTAACCTCTCTGATGCATCCATTTTCGAAGCCCATATTCGCCATTGGCAGCCTAATTTGCAAATTCCTTGGACTCTTCTTTCATCATTTGCCTTAAACTTTACATTGTACCCGTTCACTGCACCATAGGTTCGCACCGCCTCTCGGAACTCTGATGCGGAACTAAATATTTGACCCACCTCAAACTGAGGATTTTTCATGTCCTGATCAAAATTGAATTCAGGAAAGTGATGACCACCATCCTCGTCAGATGAACATTGGGAGAATAGTTCGTCTGACGATGGTAGTTCCAATTCATCCACCTCGATATCGATGCACTCTTTCCGTTCGGGCTGGACTTCATCCTGTCGGCAATCCAATCCAATTTCGATCCCATCAATTACATTTCTATCATATTCGACATCATCATGTTCAGACTCAAAGTCGTTGTCGGAGTCAATGAAGTCTGGATCATCCTCGAATTCTGTCATACAATTAAATCACGTTCAGCAAGAATAAGTGCAAACGATTAGAATTTAAGCTCATATTATATTTCTTTCACGAAGGCGTTTAAATTTCTATTTGTACCTTTAAATTTCTGTCATATAATTAAACCAGATTTAAATCTCACAAACTGTCATACAATCCGTTTCTTTCACGATGCCCATAAAAAAAAAACTATAACACATGGAAGACACCTTAGCCGGGAATGAAGGTGTTTAAATTTCTGTTATCTCCCTTTTTTTCCAAAATTTGGACGAAAATTGTTGACATGATTTCAATACTCATTTTTTAAAATGCAGCTTGAATGAAAACAGTTTTATTACATAGAACTCCCAGAAGTTTTGGATAGGAGAAAATACATATATATAACTTTGGCACTCTTCGGTAAACTAAAACATAAAACCCAAAAAAAATGAAAATTACCTTCATTTTGTTCGTCCATATAAGCGTCGAAGAGATGGGAGCAGCTTCGATTTGGGTCGTTGAGTGGTAAAAATTGGTTGAATGGTTGATTTTCTTGATTTGGGGCTTAGGGTTTTCTTCACTTCTCTGATTTGTGCTTCTTCAAGATGAAATGGGTTTTCAGATTATGAAGTCGCGTATGTAAGCGTTAAAAATTATTTTGCTCACTGACGTGGAAGATGATTTGGATCAATTACAACTAGTTGGAAGGATTTAACTGGCCACATGGATTTTCCGTCTGCCATGTCATGTCGTTTGCTAACGGATTTCAGCCGGTGAGTAATGGAGTTGGACGGAGTGAAGTTCGGTGGCCAGCGAGACAACTTTGTAAGTTCGGTGAGTAAGTCGTGACGTAGTACAAAGTTCAGTGGCTAACGAAACATTTAACTCAGAAACCTGAGAAACATAGTTCAGGTAACTTTCTCGTGATGAAAAAACCCAGTCACATAACATGCCCACAGATCACCCGCGCAATGGACATTGTTTTTTTCTGGATCACCTGAATATTACCTATTCACATTAATTTGTGAAAAAAAAAATGCTCATTTCAAGGTTTTCTTTCTTTTTGTTTTTTAAATTTAAGGTAGAAGATGTCAAAGAAAATAAGGGGCAGTTTTCAAGCCGTTTTTTGTTTTCGATTTTTCAAAACGGTGAAAACGCGTTCTCTTTCCCATTTTTGAAAATGAATTTTAGAAAATCAAAAAAATAAAAAACAAATAAATAAATAAAATAAAGTTGTACTAAAAATGGAAAACGTCTAGACATTTTGAGCGTTTGCAGCCAAATCACGAAAATGAACCAAAACTATGCGTGAGGGAAGTGTGATCGAACCGCCGCCTTCTTCCTCAACAATCGACCACCACCCGCCATCTAGACCACCAGACCTCACTACCATTCAAACCCTCTCGCCTCCCTCTTCAACCTCTTGTCATCACCTAGCCACGGAGTTGCCGAAAACAACCCCAATCACCCTCCCCCCCAAAACCGCGCTAACAGTCACCGTTTTCGCCATATTTCGACCGTCTTAAGCCACCGTTTCGATCGCGGACCTTCACCACTCCACTCAACCAAGCGCATCCAGTACCACCATGGGTCACCTACAATTTTGTCCAAAATCGAATGTGCTTGTGAAAGCAATCCGTGGGTTGTGAAATAGATTCAGTCCCAACAAAATTGATGAAATTTTATTGATGGGTAAGCATTTCTTTTTTGTTAATTCTTTATGGGTAAATTTTAATGGTTTGCAAATTCACATTCTAATACTTCGTCTCTCCCCTGTCCCTGCATTCTCTCTTCTCTTATCGTAAGAATTTTTCATTTTTTCTCTTCAAATTTCTGCCCCACTATACATATATACACATATGTATATATAGATAGAGATATAGAGTTGTGGAATTGGCAATGGGATTTTCGAAGAAATGTGTGTCTCTTTGTTCTTTGCTGCTGTTAATGCTCTTCATTAACGTCGTAGCCAGAGACCCAAAATATGAATGTTGTGGAATTGTTGCTGTTATTGGAATTTTCTGCATTTTGTCTGTGCAATGCATTCTCACAGTTTGAAATTTGTTGTTCTTAATCGAGTGTGAGTGTATCCACTTTATGCATTTGTTTAGGATTCTTATGTTCCCTGCCTTATTTGATATATAGGTAAAGATTTTGAGAAGGTTTGTGAGATGTGTTATGTAACTCTCAATATGTTGAAGCTTGAGGATGATTCAGCTGCAACGTTGGCAGGGAGCAAGCCATGTGGACTTACAAGTACAGCTCAGCTGGAGTGTTGGCAAGAGGCAAAACCATGTGAATTTTGTAACGAAGCAACAGATGCATCGTCTAGAAGGAAATAGTTAGAATTTTGCTTGTTGAGCAAGTTGGTTTATTCTGCATTTATCTGTGTAAATTAGTTAGGGAGAGATTCTTTTTATGCACTTGCTATTTATATTTCCACTGCTTTGTATTCATTTCTTTATTGAATCAAATTGTTGGAAATTATCTAAGTCTATGCATTGTTAGAATGTGCTGTGATTTGGATAAATGTAGTTTGATTTGGAATGCCATGCTTTTGAACTTTCTTGTTCTTTCTCATTCATTTTCCTAATCAATGTGATTGGAATGCCATGCCACGATTTGGATTAATGTGTTGTGCTATGATTTGGAATGCCATGCTGTGATTTGGATTAATGTGCTGTGATCACTGTGGACAGGGCAAATAAGGGCTGATAATGCCTACTGATATCCATTTTTCTTTTTCTCTCATTCATTTCATGTGATTTGATGGTGATAGTAGAATAGAAACCAATGAATTATAGGTATAAGATCCTTTTGATGCTTGCTAGGATGTCCGGTAAAAAGGTTGTCAACTGAAGTCACAAAAAAGTATTAATTTCACGGCTTCTAGTACTAATTTCACGGTTTCTAGCACTAATTTCTTGTGACACATTACTAGTTCTCATGGCATTGAACTGATTAGCCAAATTTAATTTAGGTTGTGTTTTTTATATTTAGAAAAAAATATATTTCAACATTAATCAACTTCAAAATATATATGTTATGTAATATTATATTAACATTAAAATATTAAAATTTCTTGAATAAAATAATATAAAAAAATATTCTCAAAATTTCAAAGTAAACGTGTTTTTCAATTTTATATTTTGAGAAACGATTTTCCAGAATGACAAAAAGAACATATTTTCAGCAATTTCAAAATAGATACTTAAAACACAAAATTCAAAATAAATTCAAAACTCAAAACTACGAAACTGAAATACGAAGAGAACATCTCCTAAATGTCTCTAATTTGAGCTTTTGGGAAAAAAAAAATGTATTTTGAAATAATGATTTTTCAGATATGTGTGGTAAAAAATAAGAAAAAAAAAATTCAATTTATATGTAAAATTATTTTATTGAAGAATGTGTGGTTGAAAATGAGTTTTGAAAAAAAAAATGAGTTTTTACAAAATTGGGGCTGAAACAAGAGCTAAATCTCATGATCATCAATAATTTAATAAATAACATTACTCAAAAACTTCTGTCCAATAGCAATGCAAATATGGATAAAGCTTCTCGGACAGGTGAAAATGACAAAATTTGAAAACAGGTGCTGCGTGTTTGGTCCTCTAAAAAAAAAAAATGACCAATCAGTATTTAACAAGTGTTCTCTATTTTTAAACCATGTCTCCAACCCTATTTTTACAGCAAACTCCATGCAAATATAAGTCGAATATCCGATCCTAATTTCCGGTTCACTTGAAACCAAATCCACACATGACACGAGGCACTTTGCACATATAGAAAGTGGGATGCCTTACAAAGAAAATTCTGATCTTTATTCTTCCAATAATGGCAATTTGAGCCGAGTTAAAAGTAGAAACACATGGTTCAGTTTTCCATCTTCTTTCCTATGTTCCAGTATATACAATCCAACCTAGGACTTTGACACATAGTACTCCAACCAATAGAGTAACCTCCGGAAATCAAAAACTTTCAAAGGTAAGTTTTTTGTGTGTAAGAGAGAGGAAAATGAAGAAATGTGATTTATGCAATTCTACAGCAAGAATGTATTGTGAATCCAATCAAGCAAGCCTGTGTAGGGTTTGTGATGCCAGGATTCATCCAGCAAATTTTCTTGTAGCTAAGCACTCAAGAAATCTTCTATGCCATACCAATCAATCTCCAACACCGTGGAACGGTTCAGGTACCCGACTTGGGCCTTCAGTTTCTCTCTGCGAGTCCTGTGACCTTGAAAATGGGAGTATAGAAGTAGACGAAGAGGATCAGGATGAGGATGAGGACGAGGATGAGGACGAGTACGAGGAAGAGGAAGAGGAAGAGGACGGGGAAGAACATAATGAAGAAGATGATGATGATGGTGATGCTAATAGTCAAGTTGTATCTTTGTCTTCGACATCTATCCCTCAACCTTTGCCTTCAAGCCCCAAAAATGAAGAATCTTTTACTGAACTTTCTAGGGGAAGAAACGGTGTTTACAGTTCAAATTTTGGGTTCCCGTCTGTATCAACAGTTGAGGATCATAACGTATGTTTTTTTCTTTCTTGATTCTAATTGCTAGAACACAAGTTATGCTATGAAATCCTCAATATTCAAACTTTCTCCATTGCTATAGGGAATTGAAAGGCCGGATGGGGAAAAAATGGGTTCCTAAACATTGAGACAATCTTGATGATCTCTGTTCTTCGGGGTGATTTGCACATGCCAATCCAAATTGGTGTATATTATGCATGAATCTCCCCATCTTTGTATTGAAGATTCAGTAAACGATACCTCGACACAGTTTTTATCATTCTCAGTGTACTTTCCTACATGTTAAGAAAAAGGTCGTAAGCCATTTGGACAATAACAATCAATCTAAAAGCATATTGGGATTCTAGTTTAAATCAGCTTGTCACCTTAATTTTGCCTTTGTCTATTCTTGGTGTTTTTCTTATGATAATTAGACAATCATATAATGGATGGTCAACTGAGGTATCATATGACCACGAGATACTGATGAAATATATCAGTATTTAAGACAATATAACCATGACAGGTGAGATGCGTACTGCATTATAAGTACAGAAAAGAAAGTTCACATGCACTTAAAAAGAATTGCAACAATGAAATTCTTAAAAATATCACTTGAAAGTTAATCAAGGTGCAATATCAAAGACACTCAAACGATCATCAAAATACCTTTTGTTTGACTTAGAAAAAGATGGTCATGCTTAGCGGCATAAACCATCAAAATTTTCAGACATGAAGAACGCTGTTTATGAATGAAGAAACTTCGGAATTTAACTTTCCTAAAGGTTGGCTTGAGAAGTTCGACTTAAAACATTGTATTAAGTGATTTCGTTGTTTTGGAAAGAAGTGAATTAATTGATGCACACGATACGGAGAAGAAATTGGAGTCCATAAGGGAAAACATAGACCAGTTCACGAGGAAAGATGTTGTCAATATGGATGAAATATGATTATTTTATAGGTTACAACCTAATCACTCTCTTGCAACAAAGCAAACTTGAAGAAAAAAGCAAGACAAAGGAGGCTTGCAATTATTGTTTTCTGTTATGAGGATGGCTCAGAAAAAATTCCTGTGTAGATCATCGGAAAGTATGTAAAATCATGGCGACTTGACAAAGAAACACATGGAAGAAAAATTCTCTGGTAATAGATAATTATCCTGTCCATCCAAAAAATATTGAAGGATTACAAAATGTTGAGCTGTTTTTTTACAATCCAACATAACATCAAAAATCCAACCATGTGATAAGGCAATAATAAAGCTCTCAAGATACATTATCATAGACGATTTTACCATAGAATTTTGGAGGGATATTAATTAGTTCAAACCAATCCAGAAAAATAAATGATTTGAATGTAATCAATCTTGCAATCTCAACTGGGACAATAATGTTGAGACAGACAATACCAAAGTGTTTTCACATTGCAAAATTCATTGTAAGGAAGAAATGACCACAAAGAACTTAAATGAATCCTTAGATAAAGAAGGTGTGTTGGATAATTTAATGCTTTAAATTACTGGATTTTTCATGTTAAATCATCGAGAAATATAAGAATTAAAGTGGAAGCATACCTGAATCTGATATGGTTAATGCAATATGAATTTCGCGGTATGATCTTCCAAATCTACACGCAGTCTCCTTTTCCTCTCTGTGATGGGATGCAGTAGAGAATGAATAATACGTTGCATGTGATATGGGGACCATAACCTATTTATATAGGGATGCCCTTTGACCTAATTCGGCACATCATAGAATTAGGACTTGGGCCCGGTCTCTACACATATGTAAACCCATACTTTAATTTGATACATTAAAGCCCAAAATCGAAACTTTATTAGGTCACTTTAATTGGACTCAACCGAATTCGATAGCCTATAATTTAACACACAATTATTCACACATACAAACCCATCTTTAATTAAAAATTCTTACAATCTCCCACTTGGGCTATATGTGTCACCTTATAATTGCGCATTAAACATAACATTATGAATACTCAGAATTTTGCTATCATTACCGAATGTATCCCCAAACAATCCCATCCATCAATCATATCAACATAAGATCAAAGCAGCTTTCGCTACTTTCACGTAGCTAAACCCATCAATGGTCACGTATATCAATATAACCGAATGACATGGATCAAGCATGGATGTGTAGCATGGAAATTACATGTAATGTGATCTGTAACATGCCTATTTCCAACTGGTCCACTTTAATACCTTAGTGAGATCATTTTAAACAAGTTTAGAGATAATTAACCAAATAAATTTATAACTGAAAATAACTTTAACTTTAAACCGTATCCAAAATAACAGTACATGTGCCCAATATGAAAAGCAAAAATGCAAACTCCTACTGAAACTGGATATCCTCAAGAGACATTACACCCATATGAGCAGTGTGCTCATGAAAGACCTTGGATATCAATCCCTTAGTAAGCGGATCCGCAACCATGGAGTTTGTCCCAATATGCTCTATTGACACATGTCCACTCTGAACTCTTTCTTTAACAGCAAGGAACTTGATCTCTATGTGTTTTGACTTTGTCGAGCTCCTGTTGTTATTGGAATACAACACTGCTGATTTATTGTCACAAAATATCTTAAGTGGTCTTTCTATACTGTCCACAATACGCAGCCCAATGACAAAATTACGTAGCCATATTCCATGATTTGATGCCTTATAACACGCTATAAATTCCCCTGTCATAGTAGAAGTAGCTATGAATGTCTGCTTAACACTCTTCCATGAAATAGCACGTCCAGCAAGCAGGTAAATGTAGCCTGAAGTGGATCTCCTACTATCTTGGCATCCCGCGAAATCGGAATCAGAATAACCGATGATCTCCAACTGATCCGATCTCCTGTATGTGAGCATGTAGTCTTTTGTTCTCTATAAATACCGCATGACCCGTTTGGCTTCTTTCCAATGATCCATTCCTGGGTTACTTAAATATCTCCCTAGCATCCCAACGATGTATGCTATATCCGGAAGCGTACAAACCTGAGCATACATCAGACTCTCTATAGCTGAGGAATAAGGAATCTTCTGTATTTCTTTAATTTCCAAGTCATTTTTGGGGCACTGACTTAAGCTGAACTTATCTCTTTTAGCCACAGGGGTGTCACATGGTTTACAATCTTGCATGTCATATCTTTTAAGTACCTTTTCGATATAGCTCTTTTGTGATAATCCAAAAATACCTCGAGAACGATCTAGGTGTATCTGAATTTCTAATACAAAAGAGGCATCACCAAGATCTTTCATCTCAAAATTCTTTGCTAGAAATCTCTTGGTTTCGTGCAGTAAGCCTATATCGTTGCTGGCAAGCAATATGTCATCGACATATAAAACCAGAAAAATATACTTGCTCTCACTGAACTTGTGGTATATACAATCATCAACCAAATTCATCTCAAAACCAAATGAGATGATCACCTGATGAAACTTGTAATACCATTGACGAGATGCCTGTTTGAGTCCATAGATGGATTTCTTTAATTTACAAACCATTTGCTTTGCATCGTCCGATACAAAGTTTTCTGGTT